TAAGGACAGTGCTTCCTTTCGATGAGAAAAAAATTGGCACAAATCTATGTTCAGTTTTTTGGCAATTTTACTAAATTGTACGGATTGAGCTATCACGGGTCGAATAGCGCATGACCAATTCAATTCTACTTTGGAGGGTAAAATAAAAAGAGGAGCATTAAAAGGTATTTTTCTGGTATGTAAGTGGATAAACAATACAATAAAGTCAAATTCTGTGCGATACCACATGCATCATCGAAAAAAACCCTCGTTTTTGTCTAGTTTTGGGCTGCGCGCGGTTTTTGACAAAGGGTCCAAAATAGCCGTATTTCTCAGCATTGTGACGTCAAAACGAGCACGGTGACCCCCACTTTTTATTACTTTTTTACCATCTTCTTGACTTGTTACATCAGTGTACCAAGTTTCATCTACAATCTATGTTAGGTTCTTTTACTAGGGAATCACCTTAATCTAACCCTAGTCAGTAAAATCAGCAAGGCAGCACCAACAGGCTGATTTAACAACAGAACAGGAAAGTCATGCGACAACAGGAAAAAGGGCGCAAAAAGGACTAAACTCGACTTCCAATGCCAAATTTGCCAATCTGCCATCGGTCAAGCCAGTTGTTTGATTTGCGCACGCAGTCGTCAACTGACATTCCCGTTCTGTTGCTAAATCAGCCTAATATCCTTGTTCTGGAAATATATTTTGAATTTCTTTTTAAACCTGACTGGGAAATAGACAGTAGTTTCTTTAACAGGCAATTCATGGTGCACACTCAAATCCTGGTACACAGGTGGGGACCCAGAACAAGGATTTCAGTGCTGTTTTGCAGACAGATTTAACCAGAAGTTAAGTTGTGTCTGTGACGCAGGCCAATTGGCTGCCTGACTGGGTAAAATGGGGCTATGTAAAAAATTTATCAAAGGGTTTCCTTGTGGGTAATTTAAAGTTCTCTATGAAAGTGGCTTTTACAGTGAGCCGTGAGCGAAACTGAAATTGCAGTGAGCAAAATTGAAATTGCAACGAGCAAAATATTGAAACTGCCAGGAGGAAATTGAAATTGCCATGACACTTTTAAGCCGCCATAGGGCTTTCAATAATTTATTATTGCACGTGGAATGGATATGCTTTACCTTCTCGTTTATTGTCAACCCATTCTCCTTCATAACGAGATCCATCACCATACATCATAATACCATGACCATTCAGTTCTCCCTTTACAAACTGTCCCGTGTATTCATTTTTTGTTGACACCCACCGACGAAATCCATGTCCCTGGATTTCACCATCCATAAACTGTCCTTCATAAAAACTGCCATCTGCCATAACAAGTTTGCCATGACCTTAAATAGAAAATAAAATCAGTATTCATATGTATAATAATATGGTAAAAATTGGTCTCAGATCAAACCCAGTGCCAGATCCAGACCTTGAGATAAGGAGGGGGCCCAGTCATCCAGACCCTTAGAAAAGGGGAGGGAGGGGTGGTCGGCCAAAAAGTCTTTTCAGCAATGAAGTCAGGACTCTTTCTCTGTCATTGAGGCCTCCTCTTTTGTCAACTGTGCTATTTTTTGTACGTGCATCTTTGTGAAACTTTCCCAGTAAGCAAATTGTTGGAGCAAAGCTCTCCCAAAAAGAGCACTTTGTTATTCTATTTCCCATGGAATTACATTACATTCCCTCAAACCTCAGCTCAACCTTGTTCTGAGGGTTCTCTCCTACCCATCCGTATGGGTACAAATGAAGGCCGGTAGAAGAGAACCTTGGTAATGAGGTTGACCACAGCTACACACACAATGAGTTGGGCTCATCTTCTTAATCTTGTTTTCAAGGCTTTATCATCTGATGCCTGAAGATCAATGAGGTTGTCCACACACGTCTGTAACATTCTAATGCTGCAAAACGATCAGTTACCCCACCAGAGAATGGCAGCTTTCAAGATAGTGCTGCACAGCTTTTTAATAGTATTCCTGTTCATGTAAGAAATAGCACCGATTTTCATTACTTCTGTCGTAAGACACACTCTTTTATTCGAAATCGTATTCAGTAAGTAATCCTGGGTGTGAAATAACTTAACTATAATCCCTGAACAGACGAGATGCAGATGTACTAGCCTTATGCTGTAACTTTTCTTTAATCATTTTACGTACTTTGGATTTGATTTGATTTATTTCATATTTGTTTTTATCTCTTTTCACATTTTTATTTGCTAAATGGTTTAACATCTGTTATATCTTTTTCATCAGCCACTTGTAGATACCTTATAATATGTACATAATTCTAATATAATACTATATAAATATAGCTATAAATATTTAACCTTCAGTTATCCTTCTAATTTTTAGTTAGTAGTTTTAGTATGTTCAGAAGAAGAGCCACTTACGTGGATACGCTGGCATTAAACCATTATTATCATTATCGTTATCATTATCATTATCATTATTATTGTTATTACTATAACTATCATCTCCGTCAGACAAACATAAGGTAATTTGTAGGATGATTCATTAACAGCTGTCCTTTAAAGGTTTTAATTTCCAGGCTCAGTCAGACATTTTGAAGGCCTGTTAAAGCTTATATTCATTCCAAGAGAATTTACAATTAACAACTACCCACCATGTTTCTTGCCCTTACTCCACTCGCCTTCATATCTGAAGAATTTGTTGGGGTAATTGTAAACACCAAAACCTTAAAAAATAACTTTATCTGTTACACAAAACACGAACCAATGCTGAGAAGAAACGAACTGAAACAGCTGACTGATCTTACCGTCTCTAAGCTGCTTTTTGGTTTCGCCAATGTAATTTCCTGCTCCTTTGGATGTTGTGGTGTTTAATATTGTTGCCATTCTCAAAGAATGTTTTCTACAGCAACGCTAATGTTGTGTTTTAATTTTAATAACAGATTCACCAAAACTATCGTCAACTTCACCCGCCATTTTTGTTGTCGAGTGGTTGCTAAGCGGGAGGGCGCTTACGCCAGCGGACTGCCCCAGCGGACTTCTTACGAAGATCTTTCAAAATGGCTGCCGTTTCTGCCAAAACATGTGTTTTCATATTTTAGAATCTAACAGAAACCCCCTTCGAAAATGACAGAGCAAGACGGAGATTTCATTCAGGGAACTTGTATGCAAATGTGTCCTCAGAGTGAGATCTTATCACGAGAAAAACAGCGACGACTTCACTTCTTCGAAACCATTGCGTTTACATCGCGTTCTACAAATTCAAACATTTCCCAACAACACAAACTAACAGCTGATCCGAGGGCCGTAGTTAAGGAATTTACTCGCTCAGCGGCAGGAAAAGCTATTGATCCTTCAGAACTCAGGCCATTTCAAGTACTGTTACGGACGGTAGATTATCTGATTGACGTAATTGCTTCCAAAGATGGGGACTACCCATGGCATATGATTTACTTGTTCGTCTTTGACAGAACAAGATCTGTTAGACAAGATCTAGTTGTACAAAGAATCAGCGGAAAGCCTGTTGTTGAAATTTTCGAGAAAATATGCAGGTTTCACATTATCAGCAGCTACCAGCTATGTGAAAGTACCATCGATGTGTTTGACGGAAAAATCAACAATGATCATATTGCAGAGTGCTTAAAGAGACTTCTGTGTTTCTATGACATGGAGCAGCCTGCTACCTATAGAGAAACCAGAGCAGAGTTCGAAGCGTACTACTTGTTACACAATTTGGGCTCAGTTGAGGCATTAGCGCGAGCTGTGACTTTGCCTGAAGAAATCAAGAGAAGTTGCCTGGTTCAGTTAGCATTTGACATTAACTTGACTATACTGCTTAAAAACTATGTGCGGTTCTTCAGACTTGTCAAGTCTCTGCCTTATCTAGCATGCTGTGCTGTTCATAAGCACTTCAATCATGTGAGAGCTGATGCTCTTGCCACCATAAACACAGCTTATTTCAGCCGTAATGCAAGCCTTCCCCTAACACTGTTGGTTGAAATTTTGAATTTCAATGATGTTCAAGAGGCTAAAGAATTCTGTTCTCATTCTGGCTTAGAGGCATCTGATACAGCAGTGAAATTTGTCAAGGGGCAAGTGAACAATAATCAAACGCACAGAACAAGGTTTTCAGGCATGATTGACACAAAACTGTCTGGCAGAATAAGTGACATAATCAGTGGGAAGGATAACAGTTGTAGAACATTTCAGTTTCCCTCTCAAAACAAGAGATCAGAAGAGTGCAGCAATACTGAGAAATTGCATGGAGTTTCAAAGCCATTATCTGACTTAAAAACCCAACAGAGCTGGTTTGGTAAAGGCAGAGGAAGAGGAAGGGGATGGAAGCTTTTTCAATAGCCACTGTAAATTTCTGTTTTCACCATTTATGCTCAAGGGGAGGGGGGGGGGTTACTCCATTACAAGAGGCTAATGGGGATGTGCGGCTGGATGGGTCGCATTTTCAATAGAGTTACTAGAATGGGAGGGATTCAAAATGGAAAGATTCTCGGCCTGAAAAAATCAGAAATTTGTTGCTTACTAAATTTAACAATAAGCTCGCATTGACCGCATTACATTCTGCCACTTGAAACCACGTTGATAAGGTAGATGCAGAAATAGAAAGTGACTAAGTTGGACGGCAAAAATTACATTTCTCAAAAAGTGACTAATATGAGGTCTATAATTGGCCAAAAAATAGACTATAATGGGGTAGGGGCTCTGAGAGGCCAGCGGCACATACCCAGCAAACATTAACCCAAGTACCCCCCCCCTCGGGCATTTGCGTTGCTTATAAGTTGCAAGCTATCTCTGTACACACAAAAAAACAGAGTGTGATAACTTGAATTTATACTCAATTACTTGGGGATAAAGAATTGCACATGAAAATGGAACATCAACAAGTTCAAGAAAATGAAATCTGCTTTGAGAAGCTTTGATGAATTTTGTGTTTAAATGAAGAAGTAGTTTATTGTGTTACAGTTATGCAGATTGTTAACAAGTTATACATTCATTTTGTATTTAATGGTCAACCCATTGTTTCATCTTGGTCAAATAATGTTTTGGGTTATGGAGAATATCCAAACTGAACAGTCCCTCCTGTTTACATGACCCCACACCCAGAGTACAATGTAGTATGGCTTTCCCCAGCTAAAAAATCCAAGAAAGTTAACAGGGACTCCACCAACAGTGCCAAAAAACAGTATAGGGACTGTTCGCAGTGTAAGCGCGTAGGATGCCGTTCATTTCAGTTCCGTTAGTGTCTACAAAGTTCTTTTTCTTTCCAGGTTCCACTGTTGTTGGAGTCAAGACTGCAATAAACAGGGGCACCCAACGAGAATATAGTTCAAAACCACTTAAACCTAGCATTGTTGAACGTATTTTAGTATTTAAACGGTAGATATAGGCATATTTTTATCCCCTAACAATTTTTCATCTGTTCGGATTTCCTAGCTGAAAGTCTAGTGATCCGAAAATTATAGGGATCAAAACTTACCTTTTCGAAAATTTCATCCAGAAAAAAGGCTCCCGAAAATTCGAGGTGACCTTTTCAGGGTAAAAATCCGTTAAAAATGGGCAATTATACCATTTTTTAGATGTTCGAAAATCCTAGGAGAGGCAGGCAAGCAAGAAATTTTACAACAAATGTTCCGAAAATTCTAGATCTCAAATCGTCTTCCGAACAGATATTTTCCGAATACTGACGTTGGGTGCCCCTGAATAAATACTTTATAAAGTGTTTTATGGTTGAAAACATGTATTTCTATTTCTGGCCAATGTTTTGAGAAGCAATTTTTTTGCTATTATTTCCTAGCTTACTGTTCACATATTTGAGATGTGTCTTTGGTCCCAAATACAGAAAAAACGGCCAGTTGCAAAATGGCTTCATGCACGACAATAATCGTAATCGTAATTGTTTAGTGATCGCACAACATTACGAATCTCCTTATTCGTTCAATGCCCACCTATTTCTTTCACATGGGTGAGATTTCAAAACCTAAAGTAATCTGATTTATTATTATCTAGAATAACAACGAGTCGGCACCGTTATCAACGCAAGATACATGGGATAATTTTTTTGATGAGGTAAGTATTCATGATCATAGAATTATTTTTCTTTCACGGAATTAAGTTCGCGCTATTAATTGTTCAATCACTCATGTGTATATTTGTTATTCATTTTCAGTGGACTGGCGAAACCAAGCTTGTCAAAGCAAACAAGTGTTTACACGTTCTACGAACACTAAGAAAGGAACACACTACTCTCAGGCAGAGATAGATCACCTTTTTATGTCTATTGTTTTACCTAATTTTAGCTATGCGCTGTCAGTCTATGGGGCATCGGAATCCGATCTTACGGTTATACAAAATTTTTTTAGACCGATGCCATAAACGCCGTTTTATTTCATTTCCAGTTTTTATCAAGAATCTTATAAATAAACAAGACCAAAACATTTTAAAGAAATTAATATCAACGGATTGCCACCCACTAAAAGATATCATTCCTGTCCAGAAGACGTATGTACATAATCTTAGGGAAAAAGGCCCAAAAATTAATACAGAGCGTTTTATGAACACCTTTGTAAATAGGTTGATTTTTAAGCTCCATTTATTGTAATGATACATAGGGGATATTACATGGCCGCGCGGAAATACGAAATTTCTCTTCGAGTGTTGAAAAATATTGCGCGAACGAGTGAACTATTTTTTTCAACACGAGAAGAGAAATTCTGTATCTCCAAGCGACCATGTAATATTCCATTTATTATATAAACACCAATGAAATGCCAAACCATTTTACATAAAAAGTCTTTTGGTCTTAAAGGTGCGGTTTATTATGAAGCAATAGCAATGGTGATATTTTCACATGTAAAAACATGTTATTTTCACATGTGAAGATATCAAGTTTTCGCGTGAAAGCTCACTTGGTATTTCATTGGTGTTTATATAATGAAGCAATTTAATTAACAGAAAAGTTATTATAGGTGGGTTAATCATTTTTACAGCTATCCCCAGAGGAAGAATTTGAAGTGCGTAGCTGCCTAACAGCCATAGAGACAGAGGAAAGGAAGAGAGAATTTGAAAAGAAAGAAAAGGATTTGCAAGAAAAGAAAGAAAGATTGAAACAAAAAGCATGGGAAATTAAAAATGCAACCACAGCGGCCAAGCAAGACTGCAGAGTTCTCATTGGCACTGAGTACGTCAGGAAAAATTAAAAAGGCGAATAACCAAAGGTGAATCGGGTCTTCGCCTCTCGCGTGTGTGCTAAGGGTAATACCTCAGTAACTTAGAGGAAAAAAAAAGAGTGTGAAGAGTCCATTGGCATACTTGTTTTTCATAGAACAACGAAAACCGATACATCAAACACGAAAATGAGTGTTTAATGAGTTTCTCAAACAGCTACACGTATAGTGGGTTATGTAAACCAAGCGAAGCTAAGCAAAGTTCTTATTTTAATCGACTGAAATGTTCCAAGAGAACTACACAGTTTCATCTCCGCGAGGAGCATTGATCCACAAATTAGCGATCCATTTTTCGCCTTCAAGAACATCGCATCCTCCATGTAAAGTCAGCTTATCAACATCTCCCATCTTCCCAGTCTTTTCGTCTAGAACATTGTTGTACCAAAGCAGAGCTGTTCCCTTAACAGGTTTCACTACCAGACTAGCTTTATGGCAATGTCTACTCAGATCTCTTGTATAATTGTTGGCTCCTAAATGGTCTTCCCGATCAGCCAACGGAAACGCTGTCTCACCTCCTTCTGCCACGTCGTTCAAATAAAACAACATGGTGATGTACCTACAATGGAAGTAAAACGTTTTGGGATATTACGGAGCTTAAGCAAAGACGATTTTGAGCGACGTTTTTTCTTTCAACCGGAAGTGCATTTTTGCATTCTTGGGCAGCGGATTTGTCCATATTTTCGGGCAAATCGCTTCTATAAGAATGAAGACAGTAAGCAATACAAATTTGGAAACGTCAAGGCATATTTAAAGTGAAAAATCATCACTTCCATTTAACGTGCGTCACTCCGCAAAAGCTCCCTCTTAGTTATAACCAGCAACCCCCGCCTGCTACCCAAAACAATGTTGAGCAAAATGGGTGGAAATGAGTCCTTTTTGGAGCACAATGATGTTGAATTTTAAGCAAAATGGATGGACGCAGTGAATAACCCCCTTAACTGTACAAAAATGCAAAGGCTTTTTGACTTAGAAGTCTGCAAAACTGGCTTGAGTCGTCATTTAGTAGCCCGCATCGCAGACAGTCTAAATCCCCGATATAATCGGCAGTACGTACTGCATCGAGTTCTCTGTCTTACAGTCAAACCAGGTCAAGCGTACCCCCCAAGAATCCATTAATGAATTTATTATTGAAAAGTTGAATCCGTTGCGAGTTGTAGATTTCAGATTGATCTCTGCATTCTTGTATGTGTAATGAGCCGTGAATTCACACGCGACGTATTTAAAGTTGAAACGACCAATATGTCCAAGAACTCCCGAATCCTCTCGAAAACCAAAACCGAATTCAGACCAAAATAGGCAAAGTCAACAACCGTTTTCAGACCAAAACGGCGAAAAACCCATACCCTTTGGGGCAGCGCAGGTGCCTATAAGGCAAATTTGAAGGAGTAAACCTCCCCCGGGACAAACACGTACACACAAAAAAATTACTCCCACAACCAAAACAAAACGGTATAGCAAAAAAAGCAGTTGTGGGAGTGATCTATGTGTCTATAAAGTACAGAGAATTCCGACCTACCTACACAGAAGACATGATGCAGTGTTCTTTTCTTCATTCCTCTGACAGCATCTCTTTTCCTTTACATTTTCACCTACGGAGGAATCGTAGTGGGCGTGATAGTGTCCAGATCTCTGATAATACACGACCTGTGAAAAGTAAAAGAGAAAACACATTTGTTTTAATCAAAGTACCACTATCATGTCTGGACTAATTTTCCACCAAAGCGCGCCTTGATGACTTTTTTTATTACTCACTAGCTTTACAAAGACTAGAAAGGGAAGATCGGCACGGTCAGTTCATACCGCCGCCCGGTTGGCGCAGTTGGGAGGGCGTCGGTCTATCGGCGCCACGCCAAATCCCTGCAGGACCAACAACCAAGGTCTTTCAAAAGCTGATTAGATAGCCTGCGTAGCATGGCGGTTTTGTCGAGCCGGGCGCACGAGCGGCGTAGTCGCGAAATTCGCGCGCGAAGCGCGCGAGAACGACCTCGCGGTTTCTCTGCCCTCGCCCGCCTTTATTACTTAGCGCGCCCAACCAAAACCGCCATGCTACGCAGGCTACTGATTAGATGATCAGTGTGGGTGACGCTAGCTGTGATTCAAGATTTTGTCTAGGTTTAGATGATCACGTCATTGGACGGTGACGTTAAGCCGTCGGCCTTAGCTGATATCTCCTCTATCTTGTATTATCAACTGAAAGGGGACGTAAAAGAATCCACACTGGTGTTAGAAAAGAGAAGGGATCCTAGATGATCCCGGTGGTGGGGAAGCGGAAGAGAGGGAAAGCGCTCTCTCGCCTAATCTCTGGTCAGGCGGACCTCTTCCCTTTTTCATTTCCTTGTCTCCGGCCGAAGG